CCAGGGGAAAAGCGGGAGATGATAACAACAATGGGGAGTTAGATGAAGAAACAAGTATCCTGCGGGGTCTTTTTGACGCTCATGGGATCCATGTAAGCTCTCTATTTTTTGCTAGTCATTGTTCAGTAGGCTTCATGTTCCCGGCCACCCCCAGTCCATATGTCACTGTGTGCTGTTGATGCTCTTGAGATCAAGTTGATCTCTGTGTCTAAATGCTTTAGATCTTTCACTCTTATTCTCTGTCTTCTTTTTGGGTTTGGGGTTGGTCTGGGGAAAGGGGAGATTTTATAAATTATCTTTACTTGTGTTAAACCCATGTCAGTTCTGTAGAAGGGTAGCTTTTGGATTTGAGAGAAAGATTAGGCACAGTAACTTCTCTTTCAACGTAATTTGAAGCTTGGTTTGAGTTAAATTTTTCTGTGCTATTTATCATATTCCCTTATAGTCACCTTTATTTATCAGTGATTTCTTTGTTTTACTTACCTTATTCATATTTTGTGCTTTACCAGAGTGCGATGAACCATGATGCTATCATGAATGCTCATGATGAAGAAAAGTTGAAGCTAGAGGAGCAGGCATCCCAAGTAGCTCAGAGAGCTGCAGAAGCACTGCGGCAATCAAGAATGCTTCGAAGTCGAGAAAGTGTAGCAGTGCCAACCTGGACTGGCAAATCAGGAGCTGCTGGAGGGCCATCATCTGCTAAAAAGAAATTTGGTTCTACTGTTAATCCTCAATTAACCAGTAAATCATCTGAAGAATCCTTGAATGGCTATGATGCTATTAGGGGAAATGCTTTTCCTGCAGGGGCATCTGCTGGAAAAGCATTGTCTTCAGCCGAGTTATTAGCTAAGATTAGGGGGAATCGAGAGAAAGCTGTTAGTGATGGACTTGTTCATCAGTTTGGTACGCCAGCTTCAACCTCCAACAGCAGAGCAGGATCTGTAAGTAATGGGCACCGGAGTGCATCTTCTAGTTCTGTGGTTCAGCCAGAAGTGTTGGTTCGCCAGATCTGTACATTTATACAACAGAGAGGTGGAAAAACCAATTCAGCCAGTATCGTAGATTATTTCAGGGACAGGGTACCATCAAAGGACCTGCCCCTGTTCAAGAATCTATTAAAGGAAATAGCGATTCTTGAGAAAAACCCTAGTGGTTCTTTCTGGGTTCTAAAGTCTGAATATCAGGATCAGTAGTGCGTTCCTAGTTTGAACATATGATCCATGAACTACACTTGTGTGCTTTCTCAGAAATGAAATACTGTATAGCAGTTAGAAACAACATCTCAAGTGATTCAAATTTTTTCTTTCAGTTGAAAGTTTGCCATTCCTTTGAGGGTCAAGGTAGGCCGAGAGACGTTCTTATTAGTTCTCAGCATCTTTGGTCTAGGTAGTTTGGTCTATGGGCAGTGTACATAGTTGGATAATTTTCTGCTTCCCATAAATCATTGATTTTTCTTTGTAACAGGGATCAGTTGATACTCCGGAAATTAAGCCGTCCCCGAAAAAGAAAAGAATTTCTTTTGCTTGGTCTTACTGAAAGACTCTTATACAATACCTGCTCGTTTCATGTGGTTACAGTATGGCATATCCATTAGTCTTGTTGTTTTGTGGAAATTCCTTGAATTAGTAAATTCAATGCTAGTAAATAGGCAGAGTTGCAGCAGGAGGAAAACATCGATTAGTCTCAAGTGATTAGTGAGGACAAGAAAGATAAATATGAGGAACAGAAGTTTGTTTTACTAATATATAAACGTGTCTACAAATTGTCTCAGTGAAATTGTTATTATTAATATAAAAATGTGTCATTCTTTTTAGAAAGGACTAAAAAGAAAACGTGTTACAATTGAAACAAAGATAACTATTTTGCACCGAAGTGTCAGCTCTAGTAAAATTCATTCTTTCAAGAGGAATCATCTCAATTTGTTTGTTTTGCTTAGTGTTTGAATAGTCGAATCATATTTTTGTTGATCATACTTTTTAAATATTTAAAATTGTTACCTATTGTGATCATAATACTTTTTATGTTATTTCTAAAATATGCAAAAAAAAATTAATTATGTCCAAATTCAAACCTTAGTTTGATCCTCGTATTCAAAATCTGACCGAGACTGAGGGAGTATCCCAAAAACCTTAGGAGCATGAGAAAAGAACACAACAAACTACAACATCTCTAATCATATAAGCTAATGGATCAAACCAAGGACTTGAATTCTTAAATAACATGTACTATTAGATAAAAATATGTTTTCGAAATCAGTTACTTCAACAAAGCTCGACAGATGTATGTAAAATAAGATATTTTCTTTATTGCATGTAAATACAGAAGCGCCATTCCGATGCAAGCCAGTACATTAACATATTCCATTGCAATTATATTCCAAAACGCGAGGAAAAAAACTACCATGAAATTTCTCTTTCAATTTCTGAATCCCGGTGTATTTTTCTATGGTAATACAACATGTCAGCCATATTTAACACACAAAAATCAAAACGCTGCCCATCCAGCTGCTGTGGCTTTAGTTTTACTTGATCCAGATCCAGTGGCAGAAGGAAGGCTTCTCTGTTAGATGCCAATAAGAATATTTGCTATTAAAAGACTTGCTCACTTCAACATGATATGTAGTCATCGAAACAGGTAAAATGAACATCACATGAAACATAGTAGAACAATATAAATCGAAACTGACATCCCACAGAACTATAGGTTTAGATTCTCAAGTTCCAATCAACATGTGAGACACATAATCTTTTGTTCTATGAATAGAGAAACCAGACTATGTTCAATAGGCGTCTTCCAACTTGATTGTAAAATCAACACATTGAAGTTACCTTTTAATTCTAACACTCTGATAGCAAAAGATTTGTCATCAATATTTGCAGAAGAATTATTTATTAGAGCAGGAGACAATAGTAAAACCAAGTGACCAAAAGATTCCAAAGGTTTTGTTAGGTATGTAGTTTTTTTTTATCAAAGTCACTGTTAGCTATTACTTCTTCTCTGAAGGTACACTAACAAAGGGCTTGGTATTTAAGGTTTAGCAATATGCAAAGAGCTAGCACCTTCATAGGGAGCGTTGCGAAAGGGGATAAGAAAATACCTCAATTTGAGAGAGATCTGAAAGTGGATCAGTGGAATGCCTAGCATTTTCTTTTGACCCCTTGAAATCAATACTGGGAGTAGTAGACGTCTTTCGAGACATAACTGGATCATTTGGAGGGGGTGGAAGAGGAGACCTGATCTTATTACCACCTCCACTAGGTGGAGGCGCAAGGGCTGGCGTTTTTTTCACAGCTCCTGTTGTTCCAGCCGCCAATCCCACAGCCGAAAGCATGCCTGTCCCACTAGATGGTTTGTTCTTCACATTTATCCGGATTGTTTCACCTTCCTATACACCAAACTACCAAAAGTTATTCCCAAGAAAAATAGCAAAGATTGTTATCGAGGACAATCCAATGACGACAACAATTACTAAAAGAGTTACTTTTGAACAAAAATATAGACACAAACCACGACATGAATATATTGCTATGCCATATTGGAACAGAGCAGGCAACATTAAGTCTGAACAAGAAGATCAAGGAACTGGAGAAATGAAGGGCATAACAAGAAAACCAAATCAGGGAAACGAATCATCGGGCAGGAATCCACATAACATCATAGTTTTCCTTGCATCAGTACTTACAACAAAAAAAGAAACAAACACCCAATCAGATGAACAAACAAGCCAGGTAATTTTATGCTCCCAAACACTAGCAAAAACAAAAGGTGTAGTCATTGTAAAAGAATCTCCAAAGCTCTAGAGATATTTGAAGCTACTAGATTTGCAAAATAGTATCCTTTCTTTTGACTGTTCGATAAGCATCTGCTTGAATTCAATCCTATATTAGCTCAATTCCTATCTAACTTGATCATTCTATCCAGCTCTCATTTTATTATGGGAACATTCACAAAAAGCATCTAACAAATTACCCATCACGATTAGCAGGAGGGCAGATATTCCTTGTTCACTATCAAATAACCAGACATGCACAAACTTAAGCCAAGGGTCTATCGGAAGCACCCTCTCTATCTCTACTACGAGATCCCACTTGTGTGATTGATTACACAGGGTTGTTGTTGTTATTCACAAACTTCCTATGGGAGTAAAAAAATGTAGTTCTCTTAGGCTGATCTATCATTCGGGAGTATTCAGTAACAGATAGCAGTGCAAATGCATACGATTTAGGTTCATTTACTACTAAATTATCCTCTCCAAGCAACTGAAAAGCAAATTTAAAATATCGGATACCTTCAATCGGTGATTAACAGCAGGATGAATATCAATGTGATTATCATCACCAGCTTCACCATCTCCAACTTCCTTCTCATGCTCTCTCTTGACATACTTCTCATGATCAGATAACGCCACATTGAAATCAAATGCTTCATTCCTTTCGTTAAACCCTAGTCCAATGAACGCATGTTTCCCTCTCCCATCCTCGATCTTCAACACGAAGTACCTCGACGAATCCAACACCGATTCCACCGAGCTCTCTCTCTGTCCCGGCGGCACAAAACACGCCGCGAACAGCTCAGCAGAGTTCGGATCCTCGAGTCGGATCTCACAACGTTCCTTACAGGATACAACTCGGAGCCGACCCGTCCAGATCTTATCGGATTGTAGCCATTCACCACACTTGTAACCACCGCTCGTCGGACGCGGCGGGATTTTGAAAACAGACACCTCACGCACCACAAGGAGCGTGTGCTCAAACGATTCTTCGTCCTCCTCGAACGACATTGTCTTTGAAGATACGCTAACAATGGAAGATCAAAAAAACATCCAGTCTTTCAGCTTTTTTGGAGTGAAGAAGAAAGGTGACATTGGTAGGCGAGACGTGTTGGACTCTGTTAATTTACTATTTTGTCCTCGTTGTATTTTTATTATTCCTTTTATGTCCTTAACTTTTTCCGGGTTTCTTTATAATGATGGAACCCTAATAACTGTTCTGTATCAATTGTTAGCTTCCTCCATAAAAAAAACCCAGCCGGAAGTAGCTCAGGTACTCAAAAGATTCAATCTTTTTTGTTCAATTTCATGTGGGTGTTTTGTGTTTTTTCATTTTGATCGTCTCTACCTGGGAATTGATTGATTTCTGCAGTTTCTGTTTTACTGTTTAATGCTGAGGTTTTTTCTGGTTTTCTGTTGTCAGGTGAAGCATTAGAGAAGATGTATCTCCAGTTTTACATCAATGAGATTGGTGACAAAGTTTACACCACTAAGGTATTATCTCTTCAGCAAATCATTTTTAACACGTGCATTGTTTTTTTAGGAAGTATGCAGTTTTTTCGTCTTACTCATGTATATAATAGGAACCCTAAACCCTTTCCCTTCGGGGTGGCTCAGATGGTTTGGTTTGGGATCTCTATAGTGGAGGTCTCAAGTTCAAGTACGAAACTCCTTGCCTGAGACAGCAGGGGTGTTTGGCTTTGTAGGGTTGAACTCGTCGTATGGGGTTTGCCTAGTGCGGTTTACCCATAGGTGCGGGGTTTACCCTGTGTGGTTTCCCTTGCCATACAAAAATAATATAGATAGGGAACCCTTTTTCTGTTTTGTATTGAACCTGAAAATGGGAGCTCAAGTGTTTTCTGGAGAAAAGGAAATCTCTTATGTACTTTAATTTTTTAATTATTTGTAGAAGACAATGGCACATTCATTCAGTTAATAGTATAACGGGTTTATCTGAGATGCAGTTATTGGTTTATACCCTATTTCTGTTTAATTATTAGGGATATGTGATATATCTACATTTTTGCAATCGCCCTTACTCTAACTAGCACTCTCTAACACACTTGTAGAGAAACCAAGATATTAGGAAGAATCACACACTTGAGAGAAACCGAGAGCTTTTGGTTTTAGAACCTCAATTGATGGTTAGGCACTTGGGCTAAGACTTAATGGGCACATTGGGGAACTCTTAGGTAACACTGACTTTTTAGACTTTCTACAACGAGAAGATTTATGTCATTTTTATTTTCCTGTAGTTTATAAGACTTTTGTCCTTATAACAGTGGGCTGTGTTAAGTAAGTTACATCATTCATAAGCTCAATCTTACTTTACTCATCGAGCAAAGTTACTAGGCAGCTTGCCAGTAATAATAGTACTTAATAGAATTCTGCACTTGCCTGGGACAAGTATTTGAGTCTGAGTTCTGATGTCTACAAATAAGTAAATCTAGAGATGTGATGCCCTTGAGTGGAACACTGCTTTCAGGTGTACATAATAGAACAAGTATCGCCTGAATGTCGCTATACTTGGTTCAACCTGAAAAGATGAAACATTGAGGCATTTATTATTCAAATGGGTATTCATTCTGAAAAGGTCTTCTTAGTAAGATGATCCTACAAAAGTCTCATTTTTCTTTGTAGATTTTGATTTGGGCTGAATAGGGGTGACAAGGAAATTTGCTTTACAACATTTTCACTTGGAATGTTTCGTAATGATTTTTGTATGAAGAGTTACTGATATAGTTCAGTGTCTAACCCATAGTGTATATTTTCCTTTTGAAACTGCTTACCCGTAGCGCATATTGAGAGAATCGACTCTTGTATATTCTTGAGTTTTATTGACAAGCTGGAAATTGTCATTAGTAATAAAAGATCCTGCACTCAACTTGACCGTTATTATGTTCTTTTCTTGACCTACTGTTGCTCCCCAAACCCCAAAGAGTATCTTTGCTTTCTTGAGTTTTGCTTGTACTTCCTAAACATGCATTGAGGCCTGACTTCTTTAACTTTTTATAAATGTAGAAAGAGTCACCACTGGGTTTGGCCACACAATCTGCTCACCCAGGTAATCTAGTCCTCTTTATCTATTGTATCTATGCTGGCTTTAAGAGTACAAAAAGCAATGTGTTTCTGATACTATAACATACCCGTTTCTTGCTGTTATTGATCTTTCCTGGTGTCTGTTCTTTGCAGCCCGCTTTTCGCCAGATGATAAATTTTCAAGGCAAAGAGTGCTTCTGAAGAAGCGTTTTGGTTTGCTTCCTACCCAAAAACCAGCTCAAAAGTACTAGCCATTTTTGGTCTCCAGTATTGCTTTCCTACTCATAGTTATTAAGGCTTCTTTGTCTTGCGTAGATGTGAATCATTAAGTTATGTATTGTAACTCAGATTGCATGTCAGCCACATCTAGTGTTGATGTTTTTGTTGGTTTATTTGACTTGATGGCGGATGTATGTTGTGGAATTGTTTTCGTAAATCTTAAGAGGAGGCGAAAGGTGCTTCGAATTTGATATATACAGATGGTCATATGTTGAAAGAATGGAAAATACATTAGCAGAGTTATTGTAATGAGCTCTAATACACAACAGAAATTATGGATAAAATGATCATACTAAAATATGGAGAGTTAAAGGTATCTTCAAGAAGTTAAAAGACATAACAGTGAAGGAAGACAATGAATAGTAGATGCAGAGGGAGGTGATTCTATTGATTTTCATTATAAATGAAGATATAAGAATTCTAACTCCAACTCACTTGAGATTGAGACACAATAATAATTGTTCTTACAAATGTTCTTTTTATGCAAGTCTTCCATCGTTGCAAGCCCCTTCCATTCGGCCCATGCTTTCTTTCGATTATGTCTGCTTCCGATGGAAATACACTAATGAAAAGCTTAAGCTAAGGCAAATTCATTTAAGCCAATATTCTAGTACTAAACTGTCCAATGTCCATCATCCAACATTACCGTACTCAATAATAACAAAATCGATGTCCATCACCGTAGTCAATTGTTATTACCATTATCTATCATTTACACTTATTATCATCCTAAATAACAATGTTAGTTATCTTGAATTGAACATGGATATTTTTCACAAATAATATAAAGGTTGGTTATTCTCACGTTACCTTGAATTGAACATGAATATTTTTCGGAAATATCCATTTGAATATTTTCACTATTTGTTCTCATTTTATCATGCAACAATCTAACCAATTCAATATAGTTAGTCATTCAAACACATATAGTATACTTGAATCAGTTCATTTCAGTAATTATTTCTCCAACCCAATACAAAGCAACCATCACATTATGTCCAAGATTCGTCATTTTTATTACATAAAAATAAGACTTTTTTTTTTAATAATTAATAAATCAGAAAAATAATTTTGGAGCTATAGTAAAATAATAACATAATATGATAATTGGCTTGACTTATATAATTCACGCCTGATGAACTTTTGTGAATATTATTTCAAGTATGAATTCTAAAACGTTATTAACAGTAATGTTTTATATATGTTTACTAGCCTTTTACCTTTTTTATCATTGAATTCTATAAAATAAAGTAGAGCCTAAAACGTTTTATGAGATATGATTTTTGGATTCCAAAATTCTAACCAGAGCTCCTCGGGTTCCAATCCCAACACCCTCAAACAATTAGTCCCAAATAGTTGTATTGCTCTCCATTTTTATTTGTCACTTATTTCTAAAATAGATTTTCATTTTTACTTGTCATTTTGATATATCAAGAAAAGATAATTTTTTCCATGTTATACCCTCAACATTAGATACTTATTTTTTCAAATTATTTTTCAAGACATCATTTAATAGGTGATAGTTTGATAAAATATCTATATCATTAATTATTTTCTTAATGGGTGTGCTAGGTCAAACTGTGACAAATAAAAGTGAACGAAGTGAGTAATTTGTACAAGTCTTGAACCCTAAAATGTCAAAGCTTAACATTGAATATTTAGTTGGTAAACTACAAATACAATAAGATTAGAACTTCAACTCTAAAGGGTCGTTTGTAGTTGGCTGGTATGAAAATGAGTTAATGCAAGTGTTAAATTATGTATAAACAGTATCATGTTTAATAAACTGGGAAGGATTAAGGAGGTAAGTTATTCATGTTTAAAATTAATATGATATTGTATTTGTAATTTAGAAACTTGTATAACTAATATATGTATAAGTCAAGTGAATTTTTGTATTGTTTTAGAGTAAAGAATAAAAAAATGGAATAAATACATGAATAACTAATAACTCATTTATTTATTAAAAACGATCCGCAACTATATACATGAATTAATGAGGTCCATTATATTCCCCAAATCATTTATTAATTTTATTTAAATTATACGCCTATATATTAATATAAAAATATGGTAAAATATACACTTTGTTTATTATTTTTTAAAAGAAATACAACGAACAGGTAAAAGTGAATTGAAGGACTAGAAACAAACATCATAGATAAGTAGAATTCAAGAGCTGAATATCTTAATGCAGGTATATAGCATTGAAGATCGAACTTCGTAAATGAACGTAATTGTCATACTATGTCTTATGAGGTTTTGTTGATACGATATCTTTTGTTATAAATATAAAAAAAAGACAAAATCACAGATCAAGAGACATAAATAAAAGAAAAAAGGATGTGAAGCCAATGTAGTTATTGTTGGGTTTTAAAGGTCTGAACATGAAATGAAGGGTTGTGACTCTCCTGAAGAGTTGTGACTATGTCGAAGGGTTGTGTCCTTTCTAAAGGGACCTTTTTTAAAGGTTGTCTTCTTTTCAAAGGGTTGTGACCTTTACCCTTTGTTGGCTATAAATAGAGAGGTTTTCTCTCATTTTTCTGCATCTAATTCTTCCCTTCTTTTACATACATTTCTTACAAAACAAAATCGATCGATCGTGTCTGTGTGTGTGATTCGTTGCTGTCATTTTGAGTTCGTTGAAATTATTGAAGTTTGAGGTACCGCTACTTCTTTAATGGTTAATCCGTTTTATCTTGGGAGGAATTAATTTGTAACCTCGGGTACTTGAGGGGATTAAATTTCTTAAGGAGATACAGTGGGTTATGTGGACTCGGATAGTTCTTTGTGTTTTTCTTTTCATCTTTTATTATTTCTAGTTTACTAATCTGAATACAAGAGTTAACAAGCTTAAGAAATTTAATGTTGGTATTTTTTGTGGTAAGGAAATTACCTCTATTTTCCGTGTTCTTTTAATTGGGGAAAGAAAAAAAGAAAAAGAGAATTATTTTATCATATGATAAAAGAGATTTGGGATGAATTAGTACTACTTTAATATGTTCGAGTATATTTTTTGTAGTAAGTTTTCCTTGGATGGGTAAGATTATTTTTATTTTCTTCCCAAGTGCATTCAAGCATTGCACCCCTTCAGTTTTCTTTTCAAAGAGAAAAGTTATTTTGTGCATAAAGGCTAAGATGAACACTTTAATTTTTTCCCTATATTCTTGATTTTATATAACTATGAGAAGAAGTAAATGAACAAATGTTGTCTCCTAGCAATATTTGAACATGAGTTTAGTTTCTTGTTGAAATTAAATGTCTTCTCGAGGAAAATAGGAATATGATGGAAACTGAGAAAAGAAAAAAAAATTAGCAAGAAAAGTTACTTGCATGGAATTATTGGTGACAAATAGAATATGATTCAATGAGAGTAAAAATCAAGTTCTATCTTTATTTCCCTTGATTATTATTTTCTTTTTCTATCCTTTATAAGTTATGAAATTTATTTCATAAATGTTAGGATAGATGGTCATTATGTGATGATCTCAGAATATATCTTTATCATTATTAATATGTATTCTGTTTAGAGGAGGAAAAATAAAACTTTTGTAGTTTTCTACTCCATGTGAAATTTGATTGTGTTTGACTTTTGGAGATTTTTTTTACTCCTTTGGTTTGAAGAATATAAGAACTTCACGAACAAATCAGATTGTGTATTGGTTTGAAGAATATAGAAATTTCACCAATTTATTAAATACTTTGTTTGAATGAATATTCTGACTTGAAGAGTACAAAATCTTCGTCAAGGATATTAAGGCTAAATGATTGAAAAAGATAAAAATCTTCATCGTTTGCTCGAAACAGTGTTGTATTTGAACTTTTTGGAGATTAAAGCCTTTTTTGGTTTACTACTCTGTCTGAATGTGAAACTGATTCGAAGAATTTTAAAACTTCATCAGAATTCAAGGTTCATTCGGGTAACGATTAGAAGAATATAAAAACTTCATCGTTAAACTAGAAACAAGTTGTATAAAGATTGAATCTTTATTGTTAGTATTCTAAATATTAAGCGGTTTGTCAAGTTGTGACAAAACAGGAAAAAAAAACACTAGTGACATAAAATTAGTGATTTGTGTGCCTGCAATTGGTGTTTATATGGATTAAATCTCTAAAAGAAGGCTTCGTGTTGCCAATGTGTAAGCATGAGAAAAAAATATGTGGAAAATAATTTCAAATACTTGAAAAATATTTTTGAGAACATATTTAAAATGTGCGGGTTCTTTACTTGTGATAAAGACAAAATTAGACTTACTATCTAATTTAAATTTGAAAGTACAAGATATGAAATTTAATGGCATTCTTGTATTATATTAGACCCACAAAATTCTTGGAGTATATTTGATATTCTGGACATTGAGTCTCTCTTTACTAGTATATGATATGACTAATATAAAACCACAAAATTATATTACTCGTTCAAAAGAATTGTATTCTTTGATGAAAAAGTTTCACTTAAAATATTGTGATTTTTCATGAAAAGATATGTCTATTAAAATAAAAAAATAAATAAATTGTATAGACATGAACATTGGTGAAAAGTGATATGTTATGTTTGTGTTGTAAAACAAACATTTGGGTCATATTGCCCTTATTGGACCGATGAGACTATGATCATGGGTAATTCTATAACAAATTGAATGTTATGGAAAGGTCCTTCTGAAAAGGACATATGGCAAGGTGTTGACTCTAAAACAATGTTTGTATTTGAGAAAGTTATAAAAAAAGTAAAGAAAAAAATATTTGTGGGAAAAGGTTACTTCACAGAAGGTCTTTTCAAACTTAATATTTTTGTTTGTTCTTACTATGTTTGGGACATGTCAATTACAAAACCTTGTAAAAACTGATCAACTTAGAAGTTTTGCCTAACTTCTAGTGCAATGAATCAAAATGTCAAGTATGTGTTGTTGAAAGGAAGTTTAATACCTTATAATTGATTTACACTGACATTTATGATATGAAGTCAACACCATCTTGTGGTGGGAAAAAGTGTTTCATAAATTTTATTGACAATTGCACTAGATATTGTTATGTTTATATGCTGAATGGTAAGGATGAAGCAATAGAAACATATTGACAATATAAAACTGAAGTTGAAAATCAGTTGGATAAAAAGATTGTCATGATTAGAAGTGGTAGATGTGGAGAATATGAATCTTCTTTTGCAAAAATATATTTGGAAAATGGAATCATCC